TCTTTCTTCAGAATCCAAGCATGTCTAACATTGTTATATTCAGTTACTGGATATTTTAATAAAGTTGAAGCTTGGATTCTGAAGAAAGATGTCTAACATTGTTATGCTCAGTTACTGGATATTTTATGGGTTTAACTGGTCAAATTGAACAATTCATTATTTTTCTTCAAATATCTTGGTATATAAATGTTTCAGCTTAAACCTGTGGGATATTTTCAGCTTCTATTTTAGTGTGCTTATTTTTTAATGGATATATGTATCTGTTTTTTTTGGTTTTTTTTTTCAGGTGCATATTGGGTCTAACTTGCAATATGACATTGGGTACCTCCACTATGAGGTGACCAAGCCATATGAATTTCCAACAGAAGCTATCTGGGGTATTACTACAGGAGGTGGGTTGCTCGTGGTCTTTAGTGTCGTAATACTTATCTTATTACGACACAAACATTCTCAAGCAGAGCAAGAATACAAGCGTATTCAACTACAGATGGACACTTTAGAAAACAGTGTGCGATCTGAGTGTAAGCAAGGTGAGAAACACTTTTAAGTGCACATTCTGAGTGTAACAGAGGTAAGGATCACCACATAAGCATGAGTAAGGCTGTAACCAAAGTTAAAGAATACCATATAGTGTATGATTTGATCGTAAGCAAGGTGAAGTACACTATTTAGTGTACAGTTTGAATGTAAGCAAAGTGATCTTCAAGGAACACTACTTAGTTTGGGATAGAATTTTAAGTAGTTTTGGTCTTATGGCAAATATGATAAAGGGAACTACTTTTTTGTGCAGTCTGAGGGTAAGCAAGGAGAAGAACAGTACTTAATGTAGGGTTTGGCTGAAATCAGTGCTAATGAACACTATTTAGTGTACAGTCTAAGTGTAAGCAAATGGAAGAACACTTTACTTAGTGTACAGTCTGAGTGTAAGCAAAGTGAGGAACAATGTAATGTGGGGTAGAATATTAAGTAGTTTTGATCTCATGGCAAATAAGATGAAGAGTGTGATCTGAGAAAATCCAAACTGAATTATACATATTTCGCCTATCATCTGTAAAAGAAGATGTTTGAAACACAACTTGATATTTTTAAACATATCTAAGATTGTATTTTAAATGTCTAGTGAAACAACATTTTAATATCTAATTGTTATGTTATGACAGTTACGTAAAGTTGTATAATTAGAGGAAAAATAGCTATTTAGTGATAATAAGTGTATTAAATGATACAGTAATAATAAATTAATGCAAATCATACATATATGAGATAACAATATTAAAATAAGATGATCTTGAAAGTGAGTTATTTTATGACAACAAAGTAATATTTCTGGCAATAGAAAGGTGAAATTTTCTGCAGTAGTTAGTATATCAAGAGTTCTTTAGTGATTGTAAGATGCAGGCTTTTAGTGAGAGGCAGGTAAAGTTTTATGTACGTGCCAAAGTAAACTTTTGTACTGAGAGCAACATTTTTGGTGATAGGGAGTTTTTGTAGCAATAGCAGAAGAAAGTTTCATTGTGATAATAAGGTAAAGTTTAAGTGATAGGAAAATAAAGTTGTTGTGACAGCAGAGTTTTACTGTGATAGCAGGGTGAAGTTTAACTGATAGGAAAGTTATTGTAACAGCAAAGGAAATTTTGTTGTGATAGCAGAGGAAAGATTTTGTTTTGATAGGAAAATATAGCTTGTACAAATATTTTTATAGTTATAATGCATTAAAGCTTTTTGCAAAAGTAGTAACATGAAGTTTTTAAGGAATAGGAAAACTATAAATTTTATAGTGGTAGCAAACACTTTTGAATTTAAAAAAAACAAAGAAAATGTAGTGATGAAAAAATTAAAGCTTTTTAGGAAGAGTAAAAAAACCTTTCTTCTAATACTAAACTAAGGTCCTGTGGAAAAAAAATGTGATAGCTGAATAAAGCTTTATAGTGATACTAAAGATGAAAATATTTAGTCTTCATATTAAGACAAAAATATCATCCTTCATTTGCAGCTTTTGCAGAGCTTCAGACGAACATTTCTGATATTAGTAATGACCTTCAAGCCTCGGGAATCCCAGTTCTAGACCATAGAACATTTGTTATGAAGGTGTTTTTTCCTGGTATTTGTGACCACCCTGTGTTAGAGGATAAGGTAAAACCTTTGTTACGAGAGTGTTTTTTCCTGACATTTGTGATTACCATATATTACAAGATAAGGTAAAGTTTACTGTTGTTATGTATTAACAGAAATTAGGATGTGGGCTAATGTCTTGATTTTTCTATGATTGCAACCCTTATAACTAATTTTCACTTGTTACTGAAATGTTTCAACTGAAAAGTTTGGGTGTATTTTTTTAACATGCTTTTTAAAACTAGTAATATGTATCAAAGCTTTAGGAAGTGATTTAACCTAATTACAAAGTATGACATAATTATCTTTGTCTTATATAACTAAAAATGTTCATAATCATTTTGTTTTCGTAAGATGGATGTGGTACTTTGTTTTTTATATAATTTTTAATTTTCTGGTTTCCAGGTGACAACCAATGGCTTTATAGGTAATCGTGGAGAGGCTATGAACCACTTTCAGCAACTATTATACGACAAAACATTCCTTATCTTATTTATTAATACTTTAGAATCACAAAGAACCTTTAACATAAAACAAAGGTGAGAAGTTTTTAAATAGTATGATACAGACAAAACCTTGCATACATGTATTCTGTAAATTATTTTATACGATCTTCATAGACTTGTTATATTAGAATATGTTATAATAGAATATGTTTGAAGTGTTTAAGTGTTATCTTAAATGGCAAAAGTGTTCTTAAAGTTATTAATAATCATTTAATATTGTTTTTATTTTGACTAAATACACTAATATCAGACTTGTTTTTTCATGAAGTAGTAATTCTGTCATTACCAGTTTTTCAAGTGATCACATAAAGTATGTAGTCATCATTTTGTTACATTAATTAAACATCCAGCTAACCACTCAAATTTGAATACTACTTTTAAGACACCCGCTATACAGTATCTTTTTATGTGGATTTATACATATATATATATAAAGCACAAATAAAATGAAAATCACAAGTGAAATTAACTAAATAAATATGAAACAAGAAAAAAAGGCAAATTTGTAAATAGGCTTCTTTTCATATATTTTACTTTGCTATAATACTCCTGTTATTGTGTTTTTTTCTCATTTTACATTTTACAAACTATTATTTGACAAAAAAAGATCCAAATATTAGAATACAATTTTTAATTGAGCTTGTGTAATTTTTTTTTAAGAGTTAATGTTGCATCTCTGCTGATGATAATTTTAATGGAGAAGATGGATTATGCTACTGAGTGAGTAATGTTTCTGTTTGATATTTTGTGAAAATATTACTCGATAGATACTCTATGTCATAGAAGACATGTTAACGAGCAGTGGATAAAAAATATATAAAAATATGCAAATGTTTTCTTTGATATTTGTAGATGTATCCAACAGACCTATATATAATTCTTTCAAGAAATAAATACCTTTATAGAGGAGTAATTTTTGCTAAGAACAAGCATAAAATTAGGTTTCTAATTCACATTATTATTTATTGTAATACTGAACTTGCTAATAATATCACTATTAGTATATAACTTAAATATGTCCCTCAGGTAATTTTTGGCAGCTTGTTTGAAAAAATGGGGCTTCCTTGTGAGAGAAAGAAAATCTCTAATATAGGATGATGTGTTCTTTAATTGAATTATGTAATACACTAAAACAGTACAGCTGTCTTCGTGGAGCATGAATAACAAGGGAAGAAAGATTAAATTCGTCTTAAGTGTCCAGGCCCCAAAGACGTGTTTACTTTGAAGGTTGTAACATTAAGATATGGATAGTTGTCATGTTTAGTAGTCTATATGATAACCTAAATTGACTTATTATTTAGTAACTTTTTAAATATAAATACGAATTACTAAAAGTAGTTTTATCCTATGTTTTGGCTGCTAATCTGCTGACATCTTCAGGAACGTCCTAAAAAGTAACTCTTTCTGTGTTGGTGATAGTTGGGATTCAATTCTGGGTTTTTTTTCTTCAATTGAAACTTGAATCATCTAACAATTTGAATATTTTCAAGAGGGATATCCAAGTTTTGTTGTCTTCTGTACAAAATTGACTGAGTGTATTATCAGTAGATATAGAAAGCTTCTTTTTTTTTTCTCGTGTATTGTTCATATCCCAGTATTACTTTTAAATATTATTCCAATCTATCATATGATCTTCTTCTTTGACACAATAAGCTATGTTGCAAATAGACTGATGTTACTGAGTCTTGACAAGCAGCCAAAACATTGGAAAAACTAGTTATTAATTAGTATATAGTTATATATAAACTAAAAATTAATAATTAGACTTAGATGATTATATAGGCTACTAACCATGACAATAATTTTCAACCCAGATTTATCACATGTAGTCATCATAAAGATAGGTATTTTTCCTGTTGTTTACATGTACTTCTGATGAATTTATGAAATAAAAATTATGTATACAAGGAACAAATTTACTGTAACCATATATTTTTTGAGTGAGAAAAACCTGAAAAATAATTGTTTTTTATTGTTTGTAGTTGCTTACAAGTAATAATACTAAATATTCTGATTAATGTGATATCATAAATTTAAGCATTTTATGAAGAATATTACAGTGAAAGTTTTATAATATTCACAAAAAACTTAAAAACAAATATACTCTTCAAATCATAGTACTTACTGACATACCTCAGTGTATGTTTATGTAAAGTACAAGAGATTATTTGATAAATGCATTTTGCATTTATTATTTAAGGATTAAAGTTGAGAGAGAATTAAATAAAAAAAAATTTTTTTTCAATTTCCAATAAACCTAATACATACTTGTGATGCTTGGAGAGACATGATGTGTAAATTGCAACCTTATTAGTCCAGGAAAATATAGCCCTTTCTTATGAAGTGGTTGATACTCATCACAGTAACTTGGCCAAGCATAGCCTGGTGGTTAGGGCACTCAACTAGCAATTTGTGAGCAGTAGGATTGAAACCTGACACAGAACATGCTCATCCTTTCAACCTTGGCCAATGTCACTATTTGATGGTAAAGAGCAGCCTAAGATTTGCCAGTGGGTGATGTTGATTAGCTTCCTTCCCTCTAGTCTACCATTTCAAAATTAGGGACAGGTAGCACAGATATCACTTAAATACAACAAACAAAACACAGTGATTTGTTAGTTTATTTTTGTAATTTGAGTATGTAATAAAATTCTAAGATGATGCTCAGCTTAGTATTTATTTTTTTCTCCTGTATAGTGTTCTGAAAACACTTCTTAAGCAGTTGGTAGAGAAGTCAGTCACCACAAAACACCCACAACTGATGTTGAGAAGGTCAGCTATTGTATTTTTACATCACTATGTTCATGAATTATGTGTTAAGACTAAGAAAGTTAAAAAAAAAGTACAAGTAGTATGTGGTGTCTCTTAGACTGAACTGGTGATCAAAGTTAATAAAGATGACTCAGTAAATAAAAACCTATTTTGCAATAAAACGTTTTAAACAAACTATGCATTTTCAAAGCATTGGAAAGCTGAATATTCAAATGATTAAGCATAATGATGAGCATAACTACCTACTAAAAGATTTTATATATCTATGATTAGAATATAAGAATGATAGAAATTACTACATTAAAATATATGATAGATAGTTTAATAGAAAGTTGATACACTGATTGTTTCTATTGATTTTATTTTATTATTTTCCAGGACAGAATCAGTTGTAGAAAAAATGCTTACAAATTGGATGGCATTAAACATGTATGATTATTTAAAGGTAAGGTTTGTAAATTTTACTGAAACTTTTTTGGAGAAAAAGACAAGTTAGCTACTGAGTTATTATTGCTAGAGATGTCAGTAGGCCTCTTCAGTTTTATTGGATAACACATTGAAGTTTTCTCATAATCATCTTTGCTTTTCTTAAGTAGTTATTGCTCTAAAAAAGTTATTATTTTAATAGCTACATCTAGCTTTTATATATTTAGACAAGTTTCTTGACCGAAATATAAGTGTACTAGCTTTGTTTATGACTAAAAGGTATATAAATAATTTGAGAAATTTCTAAGTCATGTATTTCTGGGTGTCATTGATTTGAATTAACTAATCTATTTTATGTAAGAGCAACAGATCTGAATCTGAAATTTTCATTCAGTGCTATGCTTTTCATCTGTGTAGGAATGGGCAAGTAAAAGTCTCTTTTTACTTTTCTGTGCTGTGAAACACCAAGTTGAAAAAGGTCCAGTTGATGCAGTGACAAGCGATGCTCGCTATTCTTTGTCTGAACAAAGATTGTTACAAGATCACATTGAATATTCTACTGTGGTAAACTCTCCTAAAATGTTTCATGAATCAAAATAATGAAAATTGCTCATAATTTAATGAAATATTTATTGGATTAAAGAAAAACAAAAAATTAAAATAAGTGTAATAAATAGTAAAAATAACCAAGGAAGTTTGTTTGAATTAAAAAAGGTAATACATTGAAAACCATAGATATAAAATAATAGAATTAAAATAGGTTTATCGAAGGGTACAACTTATTAAATTAACGGAAGTATTAAAAACACTAAGTTAAAATCTCAAGGATTTGTAGTTGATACTAGAAGAAGTTTTAAAGTAACTGTTTTATTAGTTAGTGTATTTTATTTTTAGAAAAGAGTGTGTATTGAAGTGAAAACTGAATTTTTAAACAAGCTATGTAACAGATTATGTATAATTGGTGAAATTATCGGTTATAAATCAAATGGCCTGTAATTTAGAGAGTTCAGGGCATTTGTAAAAGTAAAGTTCCTGATGAAGGCTTAAAGTCAAAATATTGTGCCAATAAAATAATTTAAATATCTCTCTGTTCTAGCAGGCCACTTATAATAAATGTCCCATGGTCCTTTCAGTATTGCATAGTTTAAAAAACTGAAATGATTAGTTGGACTGACTAGTGATTAATCAAACAAGGTTTCTCCAGTTGAATGTCAGTGGAATTGCACAATCTGACAGCATAGGATTACATCATCTGATGTTACCAGATGGGGGTTAATAGTTTGTTTTAGTTGATACACTTAACATGAATTTTATCTATTTAAAAAAAAAATCATTCAATGGGAAATGCCCAAGTACCTAAAGAAAACTAAAGAGATAAATTAACTTCTGATTTAAACAGTTTAGTAGAAAACCATCTTGACAAAAGTTTAGTTGTTTAAAATTTGTCTTCACTTAATAAACTGTAAAATGATTTTTAAAACTATGGAATCATTTTATGTTAATTTCATTTATATGATGTTAGTATATAAACTTTGGATCTAATGATTGTTTAATGTTTACTTCTAGATAGTCCATTTAGTTAAAGATAATTACGATGAAAACATCCAGATAAATGTGAATGACTGTGATACCATAAATCAAGTGAAGGCTAAAATATTGGATGCTCTGTATAAGAACACACCATTCTCTCTACGTCCATCCATTTATGATGTTGATTTAGGTGAGAAACCTGTAAAACATGACTTTGAACTAACTAACTAGGTTCATGTGATCAGTTTTTGTGTTATTCTGTTAAAGCTGTATCTGTTTTCCACACATTGCAGAAAGTATTTCATATATCATGGCATTATGATGTACACAAATTGCATCCCAAAAGTTTCAAATCATCTGTTGCACGTATATAAAGTTAAAGCTATACATGTAAAAAGAGGTGACTTTTTGTTTCAGGACATTAAATTATATGTAATGAGTTGGAGAATGTCTTTTTAAATTATTCATTTGTTAAGTTGCAAAAAGAATGCATTTCTGTATTGGATTCACAATGTGTATTACAGAGGGTTGTTTCTATTTTGTGGTAAAATTTTGATATCCTATCATCTTATCCCTGGCCTTCTACATGTCCCATAACTATACAGATTAAAAATCCTAATTATCTTGTTGCAATTCAGTTGAAGTTTAGTGATTTGCAAGTGCAGATATTGCTTAAAATTGACAACTACTCCACAGGTTACATATAGGACCTTTCAATTGAAGTTATTCTTTTCCATAATCACAGAAGCAAGGAAAATTTACAAAAAAAGTCTATCTATTGTGTTGTAAAATATTTGTAAAGAAAATTAAGTCATGATTCCAGAAAGGAAAAAAGAATAACTGAGGTAGTGAAGTATGTTAATCACTGGAAGTAACACAAGGATACAATGGTCTATTGCAGCTAAATTAAGAACCTCCCTTGCAGCTGTAAAGAAGATAATTAACACTGATTTAGGTCTGTGAAAGTTTTTCCAAGGGATTTATGGTGGTTTCAGGTTATACCTATAATATTAATTTAAATGCCTGGAGAGTCAAGAAAATTCCAAGATTAACTCTGCATGCTATACAGGTTAATCTGCTGATTTCACTACATATATTGAGAAAACACCATCTTTGTTCAAACTGAATTTTGATGAGGTGTGACTGCATTCAAGACAATTTATCTAGTCCATATCCAAGTTAACATATCCTAGTTTTTCCACAATATGCCAGTGCAAACAGGAGTTCATAAACAGACATCTATTGTGGACTTTTATGCCTTTTCAAACAGGTCCTCTGAAATCATCATCCATGCACATTTGATATAAAGAGGAGGGTTGGAACAGCATTGGCCTCATCACAATGTTTTAAATTTTTTTTATACAGTGAAAATTGCAAAGCAATAGTTCATAACCATAGTTATTACATAGAACACCACTGGTGATGTAAGAAAGGGTTGTGAGTTCATCCTTTTATCGTTACCATAGATTGCAAATGTATATGTGCAAAAAGCTAGATTGTTAATTTGTAATACAAAATACTAATCTTTATCTTCGTTTATCAACTAACAACTTATTTAACAATTTTTAGAATGGAAATATGAGCGTGGTGGTCACTTAACTTTGGCTGATGAAGACCTAACCACTAAAACTTGTGGCACATGGCGACGGATTAACACATTGAGGCATTATGGCGTAAAAGATTTTGCTGTTATGAATTTAGTTACCAAAGAAAAAAGCTTCAGTTCCAATAGTAAGTTTATTTTAAAAAACCTTTTGTTTTCAACACAAATAGTTTCATGGTTTCCAAGTGTACGTGTGTGTTTGTGTGTTTATATATATGATAGATATTTATAGAGGCATTTTAATTGTTTCTTATTTGTGCAATGCTGTTGCTTTGAAGAAGGTTTGATTTTAGTAAGGCATAGTTTCTTGTTACTGGATTTTTAAACGACTAAACAATTAATGAAAAAAAATGAAAAGCTGGTTTTGGAGAACCATTGCTCTTGTGCATACCTTGTCACATAGCAACCATCTTCCTTAGCTGATTTTATTTGTAAATTTTGTAAGGCTTAATTTTCTTTTAGTCTTACAACAGATATGTTTGTTGTACATATCTTCATTGCTTAGCATTATTTTTGGTATTAATTGTAATAATGAAATTAAAAGAAAATAATTTATACATGTAATTTTCATGTAAAACTGTTGAATTCTGTTTTTAAAGTTCACTGCTTAAAAGATATTGAGAAATCACTTGGATTAATTAAGGAAAAATTTAGTTTATTGTGGTTAGGTTTTCATTATTCATTAAGCATTAGAAAAGGAAAGATATTGTGATTTTGCATTTCTGAAGTTATCATTTGATTTCTCATCATAATGTGAAAATGTTTACTTTGTTTCTTTAAATTTGATAAACTGATTATCTTAGTAATCATCTCATCTACTACCTACTATAAGTAGGGAATATTGTAAATAACCATGAAGACCAGTAACATTTTATCTTATTTTTTTAGGTATAGAAAATACTTCGATAAGCTCTATAACTCCAGTCATCAAAACTTCAGGTGTGGAACAAGGTATCAGATACTGGCATCTAGTCAAGCTCATCGATGACCACATGGATCAGCAGAATGATCATAGTTACATAACCATAAGACCCGAGATTTTCCTCACAAGGTTATTGTCTACCAAGGTACTTACGAAAGCCAGATAAAATTACTGATTTGGTGTTGAATGTGTGTAGTAATAATGTATGTATCTAGTTCTTACAGAAACAAAGTTTTCTTTGTTAGCTTTTTGCAATAAAATTAAACAATGAAGTTCACAATAATTTAAAGAAATTTTAGGAAGACAGAATATTACATTATTACAGAGAAAACTACTACTTGTTCCATGAACTGTTCTAATTATGTGTAAATTAAATATTAAGTTATCATATATTAGTTACAGTTAAGTTCATATTTGCATCTAGTCACAATGATATTATTCTTGTTGTACATTTTACCTTTGAACATTCAAAATGAAAACAGAAAATTTTTTAACTAAATTTGCAATATTTATCAAATCTGTTTTCAAAGGATGAAAGAAATTAAAGAGTGTACTTTAAATAAAACTGTTTATGCTCTACCAAGTTGTATGGAACTTGAAAAAACCTGGTTGGATTTATCAAAAACATATGCATTATAAAATTATGGTGTTAATAAAGAAATAAAACTAGTTTAATAAAAAACAAGAAAAAATCAGAAACAATGGACAATGACAAAGAAATATTCCTTAACTTTTAGCTATGGGCCTTTGATACTGCCTAATACCTTGTACTATTTTTTAAATGTAACATGTAATTATTATAATCCTAAATGCTTTATAAATATCTTTCTATCTTTTTTTAAAATACATTGTTTTTATACTAGGAATAAAAATTATTTGTATCTCAAAACATTTATTTCCTCATCGAGGTTTTCTTTAATCTGTATCAAATTGATTAATGAGTTCTTTGAGGCTATTATTGCTGTTTTCATACAATGTTCTCTAAGCCATACTTTTGTGATGAGAGTCTGGCTCTCTAAGCTGTTGTTTTTACCAACACACTTCACCAGGCAGCTCACGTGCTTTGTAAACTTTATATCGTTGTATGTTGCTCTGTTGTATTCAACTCCAACTCAGTTGCAGTGAGGACCTACTCCTTGAAGAAATTGCAAACTGAAGCATTTGTCATTAAATTATTCTTATTTATTATTGGTAATTTTTTTAATATTGATGTGTACTGGGTAAACTCATCCACAATTTAAAATGGTTGTGACATGTATTATTCCTATGTATATCATATGGTATGTACAATTATTCTTGTCTTTACTGCAAATATAAAATTGCTTTAAAACACTATGCTGATATCAACTTTTAATTATTCTGTTTCTCAGGTTAGTGTTTATTTACATATTAGGTTATTTTTTGGGCCAATACCTGCCATGCTTTCTTACTACAAGTAAAGTAAGTTGTATAGCTTTGTTATTAAAATGTGTGTAGAATGTTTTATTAAATTTTAGTTTTGTTTGGTGATAGGGAACTGTACAGAGATTTGTTGATGATTTCCTGTCAACAGTATTAACTGTTTGTGATGACTTTCCTCCTGCTGTGAAATGGCTGTTTGATCTTCTAGATACCACTGCAGTTCAACATGATATAACTGACCCTGAAGTTGTTCATGCATGGAAAAGTAATTGGTAAGATACTGAAAAATGATAAATGTTTTGATATAATGAAAATTTTCTCAAATTATTTAAGTTAAAAGAATTTAAATGGATGAGTTTCAGATCATTTGTGAAAGTTATAAAACATCGTCTTTTAAATCTTTTGTTTAAAATAGAAAGATGTAGGACTTTTACTACACTTAATTCATGATGGTCTTTCTATAAGTTACTTCAGAGGGTTTAGTATGCTGTAATAAAATGCTTTTTGAAGCCTCACCACATCATTGCAGTCCATATATATATATATATATCCACATCTGGTAATACTGTATCTGATGATGGTACATCCTGAAAAAGAGTTCTACATTTTGAAATGCTTTATTGTAAGGTTTTCATGTCCAATCCACACAATTCCTCCATGCATGCTTTCCAGTGTCTGAGCACCCATTTCAACATTCTGACAATACAGAGATTGATGGGTGATGCATCTGATGATTTAACCAATATGTCTCCATATAGAACAGTATGACTACTTGTTTCATTCTCCAGTTGTATGAAGTATATGATAGTTGAACACGAAGCATAACTGGAAGCTTTTATTTGATGGCTCCATACCCTGTTGTCCTCATTTTCAGACAGAGATACTTGTTGAATATGGTGTGTACAGTTGGCTGGGGCACACTGGCAGCTTTTGCCAGTAGCTTTTGTGTTCATGGATTCTCACCTTTTCGAAGATGCCACACTTTTCTTACCATGGTTGGGGTATGAAACATTGTAGATCTCTTTCTGGATGGTCTTAGTACCCCAAATTGATTCACATTTCTTTGTATTTCAATGCCATTAAGTACAAGAGACATCCTCATCTTGGAAGTTCAAAAGTCCAATCTAAACACATCTTTATGATCTGAGTGTATAAATATTTTGCATTGGAAAAGCTGTTACTAACCTTCCCAAAAGTGACAGTTTTAGAGTGGCATGAAACACCAAACAGTGTCATGATGTAGTTTTGATATGTTCAGTTTCACTACAACTTTATATCAGCTGACGTTATCCTGTGTAATAATAATGTAAGAGAAATATGACCTTGAGTTAATTGTAATAATAATGTAATGGAAATATGACCTCGAATGAAGTGTAATAATAACATAAGGGAAATATGACCTTGAGTGAAGTGTAATAATAACATAAGAGAAATATGACCTTGAATGAAGTGTAATAATAACATAAGAGAAATATGACCTTGAATGAAGTGTAATAATAACGTAAGAGAAATATGACCTTGAATGAAGTGTAATAATAATGTAAGAGAAATATGACCTTGAATGAAGTGTAATAATAATGTAAGAGAAATATGACCTTGAGTTAAGTGTAATAATAATGTCACAGAAAGATCATCTTGAGTTAAGTGTAATAAATAGTATAGTAGAAACAAGAACACTATGAGTTAAGCATAATATGATGTAGTAGAAACAACAACACTATGAGTTAAGCATAATATGATGTAGTAGAAACAACAACACTACGAGTTAAGCATAATATGATGTAGTAGAAACAACAACACTATGAGTTAAGCATAATATGATGTAGTAGAAACAACAACATAAGTGTAGTAAAAATATTACAAATCAAACATAGCAGCTGAAGTCACTGATATTTTGTTTTTCTAATACACTTTTGTAGCAGTAATTCTAAACAAAAGTATTTTGTTTTTACAGTCTAACTCTGAGGTTTTGGGTAAATTTCATCAAAAATCCAGATTTTATTCTAGACATCAATAAAACTCCACTATTAGATTCCTGTTTCTCAGTCATCGCTCAGGCACTCATGGATGCATGTTCTACATATGAACATAGACTTGGAAAGGTAATTCAGTGTGTTTGACATGAGATTATATATATTGGGACTACATCTCTGAAATATTGTTATGCATATCTTGCAGACAACTAGGCTAAGTATAAGACTAATAACTGTATCTCAACAAAATTATTTTTTAATACCTGCATTTATCATAACTTCTATGTTTCTATTCAAATTATAGTTGAATCTTTTCTTATATGTTAAGAATAAATAACTAATCAGTTTTATGCACACTATAGAACAGCTAATATTAAAGATTTCAATATATTTTTTGGTTAAGGAAGCTTCATCCTGTGAAAAATATTAAAGTTTATGATGGAAATGAATAAAAACCTATAACCCGAACTCTTTGAAAAGTGGACCTTTCGAAAGTGCTTGGGTTATAGGGTTTTTATTCATTTCTATCAAGACTTCTTGAACCTACATGTTTTTCTAACATCATGAAAGATTATGATTGGATATTTTTGCAATTACGACCAAGACTTAGATACCATGTTCAGTAGTTTCAAAGAGCTGAAATATTACTTTTGATTTTGTTTTCTCTGCACCATCTTAGAAAAAATTATTGAAAAAAATTAGATTTATTGTTAAAAATGTTTCATGAAATGATTTCAATTTTGAGTGAAGTACAGATTGGTTGTTTTCTCTAGTAATTTATCTGTGGCCTTAGTGTGAAACTAAACTACTAAGTAATTTATATTTTACAACTTTCAGTAGATAGAAAAACACTTCACACACTTCAAATTTTATAATTTATTCATCCAGTTTACAAACAAATAGTTTCAAACTGTTGTAAGCTTTCTTGGCGTAATTAAAGTAAATGTAATGACCATGCCATTTTTTAATATTCCAAACAATGAATTTTTTTTGACACAGAGTCTTTAAAAGTCATTTTGCTCTTGGATGATACTGTAAGACTTTTTGTACAGTAGTACACATTTTGTACAAAGTTTTTTTTATACCTGTAGTAGCAGCTGGTGAAATCTTGTGACTGAAATCTGACTGTTAATTCTCACTTATTTTGATGCCAAAATCTATCAGATCACTCCATATGGATTAGTTGCTTTTTCCTAAATCCCAATGATAACATTATATATAACATAAAATTTAGTAATTAATGAATTTTGTTTTTGTATTGTGCATAATCAAACTGCTTTAAACTTAGAATAATTTTAGAAATTATACTAAAATTATAAAAGAAATAGTGAAGGAATAAATACAATTTCTCTGGTATTAATATGTTTTTTAGGTATTTAATGGAAACTTTTAAACACTGAAATTTTTGTTTTTAGGACTCCCCATCAAATAAGCTGTTGTTCGCTAAAGATATTCTTTCTTACAAAAAAATGGTAACAAAATTCTATGAAGAGGTGGCACTCTTACCCATTATCCCTGAACAGGAGGCCATTGCCAGTATGCAGAAGCTTTCACTGGTGAGTATAAAACTTTCTGGACCCTGTTTTAAAATGTTAAACAGATGTGTTTCTAAACAGTTAAATAAAAAAATGTCAAGTGATGGTTCTGTTACTTTTTAATCATAAAATTATATTTGTTAGAAAGATAATGATCCATGATTCTTATGTATGCAGGCACACTGTGGAGAATTCAACAGTATCAATGCTGTGAAAGAACTCTATAACTATGCTGAAAAGAACATCAAAGAGGTATTGTGAAGGATATAAGCTTGTGTTCCTAAATGATAATTGACATAAAACGTTTATGAAATAATGTATAGTTATTACTAGGACAAATTCAACTTTCAATGTGGTAAATGAGCATACACATGCACAAGAGTATCATGTTGAAATGATTTCGTACTGCAATAGTTCTATTTTAGAAAATTGTATAAAATATTAAATAACTCACACTAATAATAGAGATAGAATTTGCAGGATATTTGTGTTTTTTTTTTTTTTATAGAAATAATATATCAAAGATAGCCATGTACCCACAAATTATATAACACATTTTTTATGTAGATGGTTTATATTTGATTTTATGTCTGTGTAGGTTTCTCAGGCCCTAAGAGCCAATCCTCAGTGTAATACATCAAACCTAGTAAAGAAATTTGAAATGGCGATGTGCACTTTACAAGGAGAAGAAGATCCTATGTGTTGAAGAGAACAAGTAAAATAAAAGTTTATTAAAGGGTGCTTAAACAAACCGAGCTTAAAAACTTTTTTTGTGTGCATCATTTGGGATTTGTGTGTGAAATCACCATCATCATTCCAGTTATATTAAGGGCAAATTGTGCAAGCTATAATCAAACATAAGTGAGGTTATACTGAAATAATGAACAATAGTGAGAAATCAAAATGTAACCAAAAGATGTATATTGTGCTCCTATATTTGTTAATATGTAAAAAGTGTTGGAAAAAAAAATGAGCATTATAATTCATCAGCAACATTCCAGAAGCTAAAAAAAAACAAATACCAAAGATTTAACCAATATAGTCTTTCTTTCTTAGTGAGACTACCAATTCAGTGTTTTTTTTATTATTATAATGTACATGCTCATAAAATTATTACCAGTGCCTGTGGAACTGCCAAGAGCTTTCATGGACCCTGGGGAAGTATTGACATGTGCCCCTCCCCCCTCTCAGTCAATTGGTTTCCCCATAGCTCCCTTCAGGCATTAGGACCTGGGAAAATTTCCCACCCTCTCTACTCTCTCTTTGTGCCTGTACTAAAACACAGGTTTTCTTAGTACGATGAAAATGGGAAAAATGTTTGTATACGTGTGGAACTATATATATACACCTGGAAAAAGTTAAGCACCCCCGTGTTTTTTCAAGTGATTCAGATTCGACGTTCTTGTGAC